GGTGTCATTCACTGGGCATGTTCTGACGGTCAATTAGATTATATAAATGGTAGCTTATATAAGTGATACGTAGGTGGCTCCTGTAATTAAATATTGATGTCGAGAATCGTATTGCGCGCTTTACAGATGTGATATTTGTATTTGTATTTGTATTTGTATTTGTAAAGGTACGAACTATCCACACGGATGTGGTTTTTACAGTTCTTAGTCATATGAGGTACATAAAGCGAGGGTAAAACGCGACACATACAAATAAAAAACAAAAACATACATACGCGCCTATTCCTACTAAAATCAGCTTCAAGTGACCTGAGAGAGGAGCCGCCGCTGCAGCTGTCTCTTAAACTTTGATATAGGTAGGCTGTGTTTTAGCTGTGGATATAAAGATCTGAGGGAATTTTGAAATTTAAACTGCATCAACTGTGTCTTTTGGACGTTTTTCCCATCGAGTTTGACATTTGATATCTGGTGGACAATGCAAACATGTCATGTTGAAAATTGCACGTTAGGTAATTTTTAAATATTCTGTATGGTAAGCAAAATAACTGCATACCTGTAAATTTACTTAGACTTGCTTGTTATATCAGGAACAGTGTGCCCAAGACGTTCGACTTTTGTTTTGAGGCGCATCTCATTAAAACCTGTCAAAAGAAAAAGAATTACTAATGAGTGTCATTTTAGAACGAGTAGGTACTCCTCCATCCGAAAGGCATGGCATTTCATCCGAAAGGCCCATACTTAGATCAAGGCTAGTACTTAACAGAAAAGGCACGCAAAAAGATCGCTCGCACAGCAATATCTACTCACCCATGTTCGCTGAAAACTACAAAGGTGTGTTTTGATTGGCCATTATTTTGCGCTCGCAGAACCGACGGGCAGCAGTGATGAGTGAACAGAGTCGCAATACGTTGCGCAACACATCTTCTTGGACCCTAGACTCAAGGGCCTGCCGTGGCAAGAGAGCGTCATTAGAGTATGTAAATATTGCGCGATGGTTTCTCGGAAATATGCGCAGCTGTTGTGCGACGTATGTTCTTCTTTTAAGCGTGGCCTCAACCTTTGGGTAGGGAACACAACCACCATAAATTGATTGAACATAATGGTACAACAGCATGATCCCAATTGGTGACACGTGAATTCGTGTGCATCTCCAGCCTTTCTGAATTTTTCTGGCAGGAGTCTAATGATCAATTTTAGGATAAAGCCATCCATATCATGTATCGCCAGTTTTTTATGCCGCAGTAATCGGAAAGACTCGGACCCTTCTAGGGATATATGAAAGGGACACCCGTGTCTCCAGGGCTTTGCGATTCTAGCTAAGCCTGCAGGCATCTTTCGTTCAATATCGAAACCTAGAGCCACTCGGGGCTTTAAAGGGACCCTCCCACCTTCAAAAAAGTTAATCAATTGGCATGAAAGTGATGTCGCTCGGTTCAAAAAGAGCAAAAAAGAATATCTACCAAATTTCACCGAAAAATATTCACCGGTTTTCAAGATATACTTTTACTTTTGTTTACATTTTTGGGATCTCCGCTGTTCCTAGCGACTTCATTTTGGAAGTGCGGCGTTCGCGGCAGATGTTGCGCGCAAATAGCTTATACCACCACTGCTTTACAAAGATGTTAGTATAAGGTTTTAACCCTCGCCCTGGCAGGGGGGGGTCGATGCGACCCCCCCCCCTAAGGTTTTTCGAAGATAGCGTAAAAACGGCGGCGCGCAGCGCCGCCAAATTTGGCACAGCTTATGGGGCAACCTTTTTACATATGACCTAAAAATTTCAGGTCCGGGTGACCTTGGGTCAGGTCACCAGGTCAGAAAAACCGGTACAAGGTCATGGTCAAATTTCAATTTTCTTTTTGCACCTGTCCAACTCACAGTTTTGGACTGATTTCCTTCAAACTTTCAGGATGTGCTAAGTTCACCGAATTGTATAACATATAGTTCGGGTTTTTTGAGGTCACTGACCTGAGGTCAGTTAGAGGTCATTACGTCGTAATGTTAAGCCTATGGGAAAATACTAAATTCGGAAAATACTGGAGATATCCGCTTCGTTCCATCACTTTTGTGCTTTGAAACCACAGTACTTAGCAGCAGGTCACTTGGGGCTTCTTTGTTTGGTGTACTTATCCATGGGTCAGGTCAAATGAGGTCAACTGAGGTCAAATGACGTTTTTGCCAATAACTTGGCACATAATGACGCTAGAGCTTAAAAAATGGTATCATTGTGTTTCTGGCGATCAGCCGAATCGAATGATATGCGATATGGTGCAATTTGGTTAACTTGAACTTAATTTATAAATTTAAGTTTACTTAAAATTTAAGAAAAACTTTAAGTACATTTAAGCAAGCTAAAAAGTATATCATTCGACGCGCCTTGACGTGCTGAGTTCACTGGTGCTTTTCTTTTTGCTTTATCTTAATTAGATCAAAAGTTATAAGCGAAAAACTTTTGACCTGTTTTTAGCGAAAATTTTACATTTATACCCCCCAAATCCCCCCTAAATATTGACCTAGAACAACCAAATTTGCACAGGGGCGAGAACTCCAGGGGGCCCACCTACCTACCAAATTTGGTGTTTCTAGGTGCCATAGGAGCCAATCGCGAGGGGGGGGGGTCGCATCGACCCCCCCCCCCTGCCAGGCCGTGTTATGAAAAATGCCCTGCCAGGGCGAGGGTTAAAATCGTTAGATCACCGCTGACGTCACAAATTCTAAGGGGGCATCTCAATGCATTAGCCCCTTAGAATCCGAAAACTGCAAGTTTGAAATTCCATATCTCCGAATTAAAGCATTTTTCGATGTTGTGAGTGCCCAAACCGGTATTTACAGGCTATGGCCACCAATTTGGCTATCTCAACTCAAAACTAATTGGGATGGTCACTTTAACTTCCCGGGTCACGTTAACGTTTCTGCTAAAGATGTCGCTAGCGCAAAGCGCCTGAAGTCATACTGTGCCGCATTACTCCCAAGAGAAACTTTAGATTATGTGCACGTGTCAACTGCTTTTAGAACTTGTGATGTCAAACATAATCCTCTTATGTCAATGTCTCGCAACTGAGCTAGCACGTTTTAGTTACGTTTATACTTGCGTTTATAACAGTCACAAAGAATGAGTTAGGTAAACAAAACGGTTGGCGCCTTGTGTTGATTCTTCCAACCTATAAAAATAAACGCTCTAAGGCTTACAAAACACCAAACAGGGTCCAATTTGTCTGAATGTGTCGCTTCAACATTCATTAGTTCTGTTTTTAATTCTTCCCACGCATTCGTCGTTTGGTTCGTCGCAGTTCAATGTTCCTCACGTGTAAAACGTTCATTTCGTCTCCCAAAATTCGAGATGTTGTCCTTAAGCAAGTGATGAGGAAACACTGCAACGAAATTATTCGCCTTTGTCTGTCTAAATTGAGAGTGGGGCACACAATGCATAAGCAAGTACCCTTTGAGCTCTGGTAAAGTAATGATTCTTTGAAGCGATGACGCCTAACCACAAGTAGGCTCCATTTTATTACTTGACCTCAAACTGTGTTATTATCGGCTTAATCTCCTGTGACGTTAGTCATGCTTTTACTTTCAGCTCAAAATGCTGACATAATTAGACAAATTTCACTTTCGTCAGTCCGTTTCCAGGCGGCATACTTCAAAGACATCCGCCTCATCACTTGGAAATGAATCTCAGCTAGCTAAGCGGATTTTGAATAGCTTCAGAGACGCAATGAAAGCGAGTGGCTTTCTCGTTAGCTCTTCATTCTATTTGAATTTTTAATGAAATATATGATCAAGCACAGCGCAATTGAAAAGCGAGAGTTATATGTTACGTGTCATGTTTCTCAAAAATGGCATATGGCATGAACAGTAAATCTTTTCGGATATGAACTCCCGAAAGTTGCTTTATTTATGTAGCCGCTATTTATTCATGGCAGCAAATGGAGCGGGTAAGAATGTATTACCTCTCATAAAACAGGTCAGTAAACAACTAGAGAGCGCATCTAACAGCAACGCCTCCTAAGATAAAAATAAAAATCCCTAGTGCATTTCGACACACGAGAACAACTGAAAGTATCTGCAAAGTCCTTTGCATTTCCAAAGCCCTCCACGGACTTTGCGTGCCGAGACTCGGCACCACAGAAACAACAAAATTAGCTCGTTGTTCACTGCAGCTTTGTACCTATTTGCGTCCCAACAGGGCCTAAGAAAGTCGCAACCGCGGGATAACTTTGACGAAGTTTATGAACATGGTGCACCAAAACGTTCATCAGGTCACATAGGGCTGGTTGTTCTTTTGAATAAAATCAAGGCACGTGCATGTGACACATGTCTGGCATATATTCCCATAGAGAAATATAGGTACTTCGCCCATGGAATATTATTGTTAGCGCATAAGTTAGAGCATTTCGACATGTAGCAAGGTTTCAATTTAGCTCAGAGCGATATAGCAATAATATTGAAAAGGAAAGTTGATGCTGAACGAACGGACCAAGTTCAGCTAAGTTTATCAGAGAAATATTATTTTAAAGTTACTTTTCAGACTCATCTCATCGAACATACAACTTACATATTGAGATAATTCAAAAGCATGCATGTTTAATCAAGGCATTCGCTTCAGGAATGGCTTATGTAAACTGCCACAACTTTGAAGTGATTGCAGCGAACGGAAGTTTTCATTGGGCATGTACAGCTGTCATACAAGGTCACCGGGGATCACGTGAGACCAACTTCAAACCTTATTTGCTCAGACGCCTCTGGTTTCCTGTGGTCTATGATCCAAACAGCCCCAGACGCTCGCTCTCCCCAGGCGTCTCGCTCTCTAGTTATCTCGTGTTTTCTGTCTCTGCTTTCTGACGCCGCCTTTGGTTCCCACAGGCCGACTCGCGTGTCACCTGGTGGTTTCTAACCCCGGACTCTGGTTTCCGCAGGATGGCTCGCGTGTTCAAAACTTGACAGCGTAGTTCTGCCTTGGTTCCTTCTGGTTTCTGACTCTGGCCTCTGGTTCTCCGCAGATTGGCTCGCGTCGTTGGTAGCGTGGTTCTCCTGTGGTTCCTCTCATGGACACCATACGCTACCGTGGCGCTGATGGGGGTGTTTGGTTACCGACGCCATATCACTCCGCTGGCAACCATGATACCAGGTAACGTGCGAGATGATACTTCACAGGCAACCATGATACCAGGTAATGTACGAGATACTTCACTTCGCTGGCAACCATGATACCAGGTAATGCACGAGATGATATTTCACTTCGCTGGCAACCATGATACCAGGTAACGTATGAGATGATACTTCACTTCGCTGGCAACCATATCAGGTAGTGTTATCGGGTGATACCATACCGCACTGTTGGCGGCGGAACGGGGAGGGCACCGGGGCACCGTGCCCCCTTTGATTTTGGCATTTTAACATTAGCCATATGGGCATTGCTGGAATGAATGGGACCAAAAGTCGGCAGTGCCTCCCCCTTAATTGAAGGTGTTCCGCCGCTACTGGTGGCAATCATGATACCAGGTAATGGATAACGATGCAAATAATATACCAATTCTACAAATCAATGCGGTATCATCATGCCTCACAGGACCATTCATTAGGCCATCGCTTTAATTAAAAGTGAAAATAATTTTGCAACTAATAACTATCCCATTGCCGATTCACATTACTGCTTGTAATGCCATGAAGTTTTCTTGCTAAAAATATCCACTGCCTCTCAATACAAGTGCATGCAGACATATCAATTATATTTACCAACTATATATAACTATATCCCGGCGGCCGCTGGGCCTCCGCGCCACTCGCCGGCCGCTGGGGGGGGGGAGGCATATAGTTGCCCCCCCCCCCCTTTACTTCTGCGACGATATCGTCGCAACGCGAAGAGATAGAGAAACGAAACTTTGCACACATCTTCCTGAATACCTAGCCGAGGTTGTGTCCAAATTTGGTGTTGGTCCCATTTGAAATGACGTCACAGTGACGTCATAAGTGAAATTATAGATTTGCGACTCTCATATTCCTCACGATACATCAGATATATGGGACCGAATATAAAGGGTCGATTATTGGTCAGAAACTAGATGGAAGTGTAGTTAGATGTTTTAGGATGACAGCAGGTGCTGTCTAGTTCATTTACAGTTGAGTTTCATGCTCAGCGTCATCAGAAACGGTCCATATCGGAAAACGACAAAACTTTATGACGTCACTGTGACGTCATCTTAGGTGCTACAACCACCAAACTTTCCTCAAACATTGCCTAGGTATTCATTTGAAGCTATGCCAAGTTTCACGGTCGTAGCTCATCAGGTTTCGGAGATATTTCACAAAACATAAAGGGGGGCAACTTTATGCCCCCCCCCCCCCCCAGCGGCTCGTGGGATATGGTCTGCTATAATAGGTAGGTACATATCAGTAGCTAGATCAACCACGCACCTCATGAGGTCGGAAAAATTTCGGTGATATTATTGACTGTAGTTGGGAGATTCCCCGCATAGGTGCATCTATGCTTAGCGTGACGGCCGATGGAACGACTACCAGAATATTGCCAATCTTGATAGTCATTTGTCGATATAAATTACCAGGACGCACGCAAATGTACGTACTGAGAGATTGGGGCGCCGGGCGTTCTTATACTTTATTTCTACGTTTTAATTACGAGCACACCATTGGAAACGACTTATCGACCGACGTCCTGTCACAATGCACGTCATTTGACACAAAAGAGCGAGTCTGCCAATTTCTGCCGCCATTTCGTCGCCAGCTCGTGCGCTGATTAGTGGAGTACCTAGAAGTTAAACTCAGTAACTCCAGTTCGCCGTTTCCCGGCAATGCGAGCTCGAAGCGAGAGTCATTGCGCGCAGTCTTGAAGCATTGTGAGCGGTCAAATTAATTAAGTATCTACTTTAGGAGTCATAAGTTACCGCACGGTTTCGAGAGTAGTCCGAGGTAATAAGCGAGGTAGGTAAATCATCACCTTATATTACCATCTATTAGCATAAACAACGAATGAATTAGAGTTTTGGCCTTTTTAAATAATTGTCAAGAGATTTAAAAAGAAAATAGGTGTCTGGGTGGTCATTATAATTCGCCATTCCACGAAGACGGAATGTAATATCAAAGACAAAGAGAAGATACCTTCTCACGAACACAACCTCAAATGACTCGAAAAAGATAGCAACACGTGTGGCACACCATCCATCACGGGGAGACACTAAAGGTAATTTAGTACCCATTATCCAATGAAACGATTCAGTGGTATGATAAGACGTCTCAAAGTGCCGCGAATGTGACACGAATCCGATAATTTACGAGTCATCATGGAGAAATATGTGACAGGTTGTGGTATAAACTCACTGCGCATGTCTTATAAGCTAACTGTAAAGACATGTCATGATTTTATCAGGCTTGTTTGTATGCTGTGAGGGTGAAGGCAAAGGTAAAACATGCAAGAAATAGAGACCAAACACGACACAAATATTGACAGGTTCCGTGAAGTGTTAAATTGTGCGGCCGTGCGAATTGATGCAATTTAAAGAATTCTACAAGGGTGGTAGGCATTTGACGCTACGGGGGTACACACACACATCAAGAAGTTCCCTCAAACAAAGCTCTCGCGATTGGGGTGACAAACAGAAGAAAACTATTGTGCGTTTCAAGGTTTCGTGTTTCCAATATTTCCCATATCAGAAGAGCCCATGTTACAATTATTCTCTCGCTCCTCTTCACAGGGATTTTCTGCAAGACAGCAGCCTGCCTGGATCCGTTCATCTATTCAATCAGCCATCCGCAGTTCCGCGTGGCAATCAAGAACTTTAAAATATCGCGCATGTTCGCCAACAGAAGGATTCAAAAGGAGGACGAAGCCCAAACGCCGCAGGGGTAAGAAAGAATGCAGGGTTAGGTTTTGGGGATTTTTTTTTTAGAACTACGCTTATGTTTTGTCTGAAACCCAACGAGGACAGACTGATGATATCATGCAGTTGTCGAGGAATATGATTTTCTGCCTTGTGCAGGTACGATGTTAATCAAAGACATGGTAATAGGAAAATATCATAATTAACATTTTAAAACCAAACGCAGAATGAGTACCTAAGTAGAGTATCATTTTAGTCTTACAGACCACCATATCAGAGTATCATTTTTGTTCACTTCAGTGATTTTCGTTTTTAATTTCTGTCCACAGTGAGGCGTTCACAGTTCGTCAGGAGAGACACCATCTGCTACTATCACAGGCATCCAGCAAGTCGGCGTAAGACTCCTGAAAACGCGGGTTCGAATCCCGCCGCAGGAAAAACTTTAATCGTGATCTGTGTAGAGGGATTCGGCTTTGTCTGGGTTCTAAAGTCATGGCTGAAAGCGTTTTAGCCGGGATCTATGAACAGGCCGTGAGTTATGAGATGGCATTTGCTCGTTTGGGTTTACATGGCTCGATATATGTAAAAGTTTCGGTCTATGAGATTATGGATAGGAATGTGTTCATTGTTAGTTATAAGGCATCACACGAATAAGTCACAACACTGGAGAGTTGATGTTGATAGTTAGTTATTTGTTTGGTTAGTGTCAAGTAACATTAATCGATTATAAATGTCAGCAGAATTATTCATAAGTGTCGCATCTACAATAATCTTAAATGTCAAAATGAGCAGATAATCATATGTTCACCAGCCGCAAAATGTTTCCATCTCGCTGTTACTGTTGATCATTGCTTTTGCTGTTATTGGAATTTGTCTAATTAGCTGTTCTTTACAACCCAATACACAATTCATTTAGGCATCACAAGAGCGGAATGCCTGTCGAAATAACTCCCATCAGCACATGCTGCTATTCCATGCATTATTAGGAATGGAAACAGGTGACCCCATGACTGGCAACCCATTCTACTGCGGAGTATGTCAAGAGTTGTATTCTTGCTTCATGTGGTATGCCTTAATCCAAACTGTGAAATGTAACTGTAGCCTGAAATTCGGAGTGCAAAAGAGAAAATACACACAGTGATGAGTGAACACTGCTTAGCACTCATCGTCAAAACAACCATTTTGAAGTGCAACAGCACATTGGAAGCCTATGGATCTAGGAGGAGATGACAATACAATAAAATCCCTATTTCCAGTGTAATATGCAAACACTTTTGCAATATGTCAGGCACATTTGACGATATAGACATTTTTTGGTAATACCCACAGTGTATATAAATAGTAATACCTATAACAGGTGGGCATTACTTGGAAACGAGCACTTACATATCTCTAAAAAGATCTACTGATGGTAGATAATCTCTCAACAAAAAGCAATGCTGTTTCAGCCTGGTCACAAAAACCAGCTTTGGTCAATATCCAGTGGCTGCTAATTAGCCTGTCTGTTTTGGATGACATTGGCGAGTGAAGTCTCATCTCGTTAATGTTAAGAAATTTGCTCAGTTCATATACTCCCGGCCATTAGCGTAGAATCCACAAACAAAATTAAAGATCATCGTAGATCTGATCGATGATCATCTGTGACGATCTCAACGCGCATGCGCGAGATCAGCATTTGTTTCAATACATGTACGTATAGCGCTAAATCAAAAACGTCTGTGATGTTTTAATCCCATTTGGGTAACTCCGAAAAAAAACTGTTTAATGCTCAAACGTCTCAGTGATAAGACATTAAAGTTTTCGTTGAGAATTGCGTGCAAGGAATGAAAACACATCTAAAAATGATAAAAAAAAATTGAACTTACTGGAGGTATTTCGGTGGGAAACTTACTTAGTTTCCCTTTATATCGCCATGAAATTCAAAGCTTCGTTCTGGCGATGCTCTAACATTGCCACTCCGCGTATCGTCAAGAGATAGGTACCTATACGCGCTGAAGAAAATGCATCTTGTTCCTTTGCTGTAAAAATGAACGCATAAACTGTGATGCAAATGTTATTGAAATCAACAAGGGATAAGCGTAGGCAACAAGCACACTAGTAACTAGGTATATTAACGTTTCAATAATGGTTATAATCCAAAGCACGCGCTATTTTTCTAGAACATGATGCTTGTTAGATAATCACAACCATATTTTCAACCAAACGATGTCTAAGTGTAGAGATTCTTGGTCTGCTGTGTGGACACTGGGCAGGTAGACACCTAGTGATGCACAACAGGGTTTATACATATGTTAGGTTTTCCCAGTTGTACTAAACTAGGTATGAGACATTGACATGATGCAAAAAGTAGGCAAACGGTTATAAGGCGAGTATGACGGGCTCACCATCTCCTTCTAGCCGCTTCGTTAAATGTTTCTTTACTGTAAATATTATCGTTGGAGTAACAGCTTAGGATGTCAGACAGATAGCACAAATAAGAATTAATATTCGTACAGCCACTTCTGATTCGCGTATTTTCGCTGAGAAACTCCCATGTTCTTAAGACGTTCAGAAAACGGAGAAGCCTTTTCTTTCCAAACGCACTAGGTGTGAATCCACCTTCAGTGGTAAGTTCTAGGACGATAAACAGCTGAGGTTATAAATGGCCAGAAGGACGACATATTGATGAAACAGTGGACATTCCAGTCGCCAAAGGTGCAGGCCAGACGGTGACTTTCTGTCACTAAGCTGTGAGAAATAGTTAGAACGTTACAAATTGTAGGAGACGGTTCGTCTTTTACTGACGCTTCTACGTTAGAACAGGAAAGAGCAGGGTCAAGATGAAAAAAACGTGTGAGAGAGAGAGAGAGAGAGAGAGAGAGAGAGAGAGAGAGGGAGAGAGGGAGAGAGAGAGAGAGAGAGAGAGAGAGAGAGAGAGAGAGAGAGAGAAAGAGAGAGAGAGAGAGAGAGAGAGAGAGAGAGAGAGAGAGAGAGAGAGGGAGAGGGAGAGAGGCTACATGAACACTTCCACGCTTAGGAAAAAATAATATTTTGACATGAATGAAGAGCTTTCACTGCTGTTAGGTACTGTTCTTCCCCACATTTGTATATCTAGGAACCTCGTCACTAGTCACTACCGAATGTTAGTTATAACTTAGCTGAATAACCCAGCAGGGATTTTAGGATCTCGATATGATGATGATGGTCATGCTGATGATGTTTATGATGTTGTTTCTTGTGATGCGTTTAATGATAACAACGTGTGATGTAGATGTAAGCTAGGACGACACAGTGTTTGTGATATCTCCCTTATGTGATGTGAAGACACAATGTTGCTACTCAATGTACCCTTATCCCGTCACTTAATGTTGTAATCTGTGCACAAGACGGGCTCGGAATGGAGGAAAAATAAACGTTTTTCTTTGTGATGTAATATACCGCGTGGTGTTTTTGGTCGGGAGAGAGCTGCAAAGTTCGCAGAGCATCGTTACCAACGAAGGAATGAGGAGAATAAGAACTGTGAAATAAATGTCTTCTGAGGAAAATGAAGTGGCCAGACTACAGAAACACGAATCAATGAGACGATAAAAATGCTATTTCGGAGCACACCTAAGGCAAGGAAACACATGAACTATACACAATATGATTTCTCTTTACATTACACAAGCTATACAAAAGATAAAGAGAAAAACACGCACAAATTCGCTTAAGCGCGAAAAGCCAGCAGGTCATGTTGCGGGTTTGCCTTGTCAAGAAAAAACACACGTACCAATGTTCGAAATGGCATCGAGTAAGAAAAATGCAATCATCAATCGACGCACATTTCACACTCCATTCATTATTTATACTACATCTGGATTATCCTTCATCCATTGTACTAACAAACATTACGCCTTCGTTACTGATCATTCCTGGCATGTTGCCGATCATTCCGCCTCTCGTTGCCTGTCATTCCTACCACCCTGCCGTCCATTCCCCCTCTCCACTCTGCCATTCCGTCCCTCCCACCTCTCCCTCCATCCTCCCCACCCCACTCCCCTCAGAGCTCTGCCCTCCCATCCCTCCACTCTGTCCTCTTATCTCTCCCCGCTGCCCCTCCCCCGTCCCCATCCCATTCAGCATTGGCACATACGACCCCATTGGCATATATGATCTTGTAGGTACCATACTACGCACCTGCTCCGCTGTTAACCTATGAACACCCATCATGTGAGTCCTTAGATGACACATCCTTCCCAGCACTTTCCCACAGATTGGGCACCCAGTGCGTCCTTCATGGACCTTGATGTGATGAAGAAGAGCCTGGCGAGTCGAGTATTGCCTTCCGCAGACGGTACATTGAACTCCACTGGAGGTGTCTTGAGAGATGGAGGTGAGGTCGAGAGAGCCTCTTCTGGCGCCGGGTGTGCCTGAGGGCGGAGAGATCGAGTGGTAAGTTATGGCAAATGAAGGGTAATACAGTGGTTATTCAGGGAGGAATGCAGATATAATGAGGGCTGAAATTCAGCGGTACCGAAGGGCAGAGATATAGAGGAAGAGGAAAGAAGGTAGAGGTCAGGATAGGTAGATGGTAGAAATAAAGGGGCAACGGAGAGAGAGAGAGAGAGAGAGAGAGAGAGAGAGAGAGAGAGAGAGAGAGAGGGAGAGAGAGAGAGAGAGAGAGAGAGAGAAAGAGAGAGAGAGAGAGAGAGAGAGAGAGAGAGAGAGAGAGAGAGAGAGAGAGAGAGAGAGAGAGAGAGAGCATTTATTCACACTAGCACAACATACTGAAGTACTACAGTGGTACCTAATGGAGCTCAATGGCGGGTAAAGACTCAATGGCGGAGCTCAATGGGCTAGTACCTAATGACGGGTAAAGAGAACAGCAGTGACTGAACACCAGCACAACCAGAGGAATATTTTAAAAAAGGAAGATTTTATCTGAATCAAAACCTATAAAGCGTCCAAAGCGTCAAAAGTCATCTTTCTGGGCCCGCGGCAGTGTTCCACCAGAGCACGGAGACATATCTAGGTACAGCGGGAATGGAGTGGAGCCCGTCCGTTTGTCAGGTAGGGTCAAGTTGGAGAGTGGAAAACGGCGTCCGAGGCTACACAAGCTGAGAAGCAGTGAGGTGTAAATAGAGACGTGAAAATAGTCGGGAAAAACTGTGGTGTGAACAGAGCTGTAAATATAGGCGCAGAAGTCGGGGAGTGTAAATAAAACTATCCACTATTATTAACGTGGAAGTGCCAGTCGTCAACAGAAGAAATGAGACGCTGATTAAAATAAAAACATCCCATCAAATTAGAATAAGGAGGGGAAAATGTCGAAAGAAACGATAGACCGATCATAGTATTGGTCGTTTTTTATTTGCTCTTCATATTAAAAAAAAAATGAGAAAGCCTAAAAACAAATGCAAAGTTATAAATACATAGGTATGTCATGAGACTGGATCAGAAGTCATCAGGATATCAAATATCGGTCATTCTTACCTTCTGATGTACCGTTCATGTCTCATGAAGCCCTACATATAGCTAACCAAACCAGTCGGCCTTAACAAACAATCACAGCTGGTGGGAAAAGACAAACAAAAACAGGCACGCATGTGTATTGCGTCAATGCAAGCTCTTCTCAAGTGCAAAATAATGGAAGAACGCCACATAAATGAGCACATGGTAAAAAAGAACGGTCACCCACGGATTTTAAAACAATACATTTCCGAAATAAAAGCAAGAGCGAGATGCATTGACGCGAATGTTTTTACACTTAGGTCGTGAGCATAGTAACAATGATTTACCAAATCGCAGTATACAAGATGAAACACAAAATAAGCAAAATTTGAGTCATTAAGTATATGCAGCTCGTTAAAATTTGTATCAAATCGGTTACATAGTAGCCACTGGCTGCATCGACATCCTAAAAATCTAATCTAGTGCGTCACGAACAGACTAAGTGAGAATCAAACGATCAACCGTTCACTCGCGGGTCCTAATGAACAGCATTCGAACATCTGGATATCGACGAAGACGTCGATGATTTGCATTTTGCGCCATACGATGGGTGAAGTTATAGGTACGTTTGAACACTAATGACCAGCACATATACAGTACGCAATAACGCAACATTCGAATGCCCGACGTTTACGGACGAAGCTCATACGATAAAGCACTTCACAGCGCTGTAAGTGTACACGACATTAACGCAACATTTATTAACGTTGGAACGAGGGCCTAGCGCTGCAAACGAGACTTAAATCTCAACGCAAAATTCACACAAAGCAAAACAAACGACGTCTCCTGGAGGACAGTCAAACCTATTGATACAACCGTCCACTTTCTGAAATAAACATCCCCCAAACATGCATATTCAGCATCAAATGTCTTCAATATTGTCATTCCGCGTGTGAAATTCGCAGTAGATGTTTATCACGCCACTTTCCTTCTTAAGTTCTCACTGCCGAACACGCTAAGTCGCGCACAACACTCTGCACTTAGACATATTATCTGTCCCATCCATCTCTTCAATGCCATCCATCCCAGAGTCAAAAAAGCTGGTTCATCTTTCTCTAGCTTTGTTTTCATCTAGTCTCTTCAGTGACATACTGTGTTCACTACACAGTGGGGGGACCCATCACTCAAATTTCATTCATGAGAGAGCAATGCCTTTTTGCACTTTCTCCTTTCCTCTACTCCTCTTCCCTCTTCCTACTTCCCTTCACTGTGGCATTATCTTCCCCACCTACTCCTCCCCACCCCATCCACAATCGGTCCAAACTACTTTTAATCCTTCACCAGACTCCATCACTGTGACAAACCAGCATCCCCTCCCCCCCCCCCTCCAAAGCCGTCTAAAGCCAGTCCACACTTTTCTTCGTCCCTCCATCAGACTCCGTCACTGTGACATACTATCCTCCCCTCCCACACCATCTACCACTGGCCCAAAGCGAGCCTGTCTTCTTCTCCGCGCTGTAGGCACCATCCGTCGCATCTCTTCTTCACTAAGGCCATGCACCGTCCGAAGATGAGCTCGTAAAGACGCCACCATTGATAAAGTCCTTCCACAGAACTGGCACGTGGTGAGGCCTTCGTGAGCCTTGCGATGAAGTTTTAAAGAGACTGGATGATGATAATGTTGTCCGCAGGTCTCGCAAGTGTAGCGACGGCCATGTACTGTGAAAGAAAAAGGAGTTAGTAGATGTAGATAGGTGGAGATGGGAAAGTAAATGTAGATGGGACGTACACGTCAGACAATGTACACGGAAAGTAGGTGGGTGGAGGGTAAAGAATACGTGTGGAGTGGGAGGTAAATTGTGAAAGTGGAAAATAGACTGGACGAGGAATGCAGACAAGTAGTCTTGGAAAGACTGTGTATGGATGAGGACACTAGATGTATGAGCAATGAGAGGTACAAATCTAGGGATAAATTCAAAGGACAAGGACAGAAGAGGTGTAGACGGCTTGAACGGAAGCAAATGGACGTGTTAGGCGAAGAGAGACCGGGGAAAGAGGCGCGACGAAGGGGATAAGGTGGCGAGAGAAGAAAATGAGTCCACAGTCATGTGCTAATGGCCAAGACCAACGTGCTGAACCAACGTACTTCACGGATATCATGGTCCGTTCCCAAGACGCATGAACGTACTGAACATGACACCTATCTGAAGTATCATTATACGAGCAGCACTGCCTACAGGCTGCGCAACTAAGCATATCTATCATGTGCTGTTTGTAAACTGTATAAGGAAAGTAAAGCGGAAGAGACGTCGCGGGGCCACGAATTACCTATATGACGAGTCAGCACGGATTTTTCGTCTGTGTATCGGTAGCATTTGTATTTTAGGACACCGTTCGAACTTTTTGAATGGAGGCCCTGATGAGAGCAAACTCAAGTGCTGAGTATGACAGCTGCACTGATCTACATAGACGTTGGTGAGAGAATTTCTAGGAAAACTTGAAAAAGAAATAAACAAAATGAATGACGACGCCGAACGCGCTTAAGGGATGCTATAAGAACGAGTCAGACATCCACAAAACGACAGGCGAATGCCGAGAAACCGAGATAATTTTGTTGCCAAAGCTAAGCGTAAGCCGTGCATGGTCCTTATCAATCAGTGATAGCAACTGTCTGACATTGCTTCCGAATACCATAGACCAATAAAAAAGTGTCTGAGTCGATGCAAATTAAGGTCATCGCTAACACAGAGGAAACACAAGAGTGATTTTTATCGTAATTAGTGTTGTTTAAAGGACAAGTGTAGCACTCATACATGTCATACAATGTATTGTGACTCACCCTACAATACACAAGAACCATAATTGTATGTGTAACAATAAACATATGGCAGAATCAAAGTGAAAGTGAAACAAATAAAATCCACCAGATGATGTTCATAAGAATGTGATTTTATTTAGGATGATCAACTGCATGTGTTTACATGAGGCGCAACTTGTTACAGATTGCAACTTTTACACAATCGATTCACATAGTCAACCTACGCTTATGCAGTTCGCATTCCAGGCCTACACGTACCTCAAATATGGTCTAACATCTGAGCTATTTTGTCAATAGTAAAAAGGCAAACAAAACAACAAGCTTTTGCTGCACGTAGGTTCTGCACAGCACTGTAAAAAACTAAAAAAAAAAGACAAACAGGAATGGGGACAGCGACAAACGCAACTGGTTTGAAAAAGCGCGACAGAAAAAGTTGTGATGTGTATCCACAAATACTTCGCTGCCTGTTGACCATGTACCTTCGCTTTCAAAAGCAACACTGATAGTCGGGAACATCTTCCCAGTCGACAATCCCAGTCGGGAACATCTTCCTACATTGGCCTTATCAGGTATTGTGATCACTTTGAACCCACTTGTACGCTGAACATTATCCTCCAGAACAAGCTCACGACATGAATGAAAGCATCGCTCAACCTACCATGCCTATGAATCAAATATAAAGATGTACAACTACATACATTGTTTTTTATATAAAACCGTTCCACGCTGAACAAGATGAGGACAAGAAGTGTTCTTTCAGCATGTTATCGCTCTTAACTGACCTGTCTAAACACTGACACCTAAGCTCAGCGCAACGTATATCCCTGAATTTTCCTCAAATCGTTTCTCTATAAGCGTGTGGTTGTCTGAAGATGAACACTGCAATCGCAGCAAGTTCCACATGTGCGTACATCTAGCTAGTGTAGGTCTCACTCTCAGCTAGATCAAAAGCAAGAATACAATATATGATCGTCTCATTGATCACTCACTGAACAGCGAATAGCAGTTTTAGGGCAAGACATGTCGGCTTATAATCACCATCATCATCATTTACTACTATTTAGCGATGCGGTGTTGTACTACGCCCATCTACTCTTCAAAACCCACACTCATCAACATCAGCCTCAGGCAGAAAATGTCCTTCCAATGTCGACCCCATACACGCCCTAGCTGCCTTTGTTAGAGACATTCCGCCTATGCGTATTACGTTAATCTTATCAAATCCACATGCTTAACAGCAAATTCAGGGCAGGGCATGTCCCTGCCGTAGCTATGAGCACTGGAGAGCCCACGCTTACCTTTAACCGCTACACAGTCCACATCGATCTCACGTAGTCATCACCGCCTTCAACTGCTGTCATTGCTATCGTTATTTGAAATAGTTTGTTGTCATTGCTATCGTTAGCGTATTACACCATTCTGCTCCAAAGTTCACAATCGACATGCTAACCACTTTTTCACGGCAATAAGTGTCCTAGCTTCACCACATAACCACTTTGAACTGGCTACTTTTACTGTTGACACGAACTCAGCAGTCCGCATTTCGGTATTACGCCAATCTCCTCCTTCAACCGACATATCGAACACTTTCTTACGACAACTCATGTCCCTGCATCGTTAACACCATCATCGTCCTCCGCTACCGCTGGTGTCATGGGCAGTCCACACTTGCGTAATACGCTCGACATCAGCCTCAGGGTAACGCATGTCCCTGCTTCGCCGTCACCATCACCGCCTTCAACTGCTGGTTCGACATCAACATCAGGGCAACTCATGTCCTTGTATCGCCATCCCCATCACCGCCTTCAACTGCTGCTGTGGCGTATCATGCGCCGTTCTCATAACGTTCGACATCATCCTCAGGGCAAGTCATGCCCTTGCATGGCAGCACCCATTACCGCTCTTAACTGCTGCTGTGGAGTATCATGCGCCGATCTCATATGTCTCCTCAGGTTGTGGACCATGCTATAAACTTTACCACAGACGGGGCAAGTTGTTTCACCCGAGTGTTTCTTCATATGCATCTGGCGAGAGTCGGGATTGGAGTAGCACTGGCCGCATATGGTGCACGCGAACCGAGCGGTGGAGTTACCTGTGGGCAAAGAGAGAAGGGAGGATTAGAGTAGTACTGGCCGCAAATGGAGTACGGTAAAAAGGCGGTCGAGTTACCTGAGGAGACACGGAAGGACATGCCTAGTCAGTGTGAATTGAGCGGTAGACCTACAAGCGGACACAGAGAAGATAACAAAATGGTTAGTGGAAATCGAACTTCAGAGCCTGTGAATGTAAATAGAACGAAGTGGTTAAAGAAGCACTATTAGCATATCATGGTGCACGCGAACCAAACGCTGGAGCTACCTGTAGAGACATCAAATGGGGAAAGGTGTCCAGCAATGGCCAGATAGGGCACTAACTAACCAAGCGGTGGAAGCTGTACTACAGAAGATAAGACAGAAAAGACAACAGGCGATAAAACCAAAATGGCGGTTAGAGCCATCTGTGTCATTGTTAACTGTAAAGATTGGCCTGCGATAGTCAGCCTATGATAGTTGTATATTGAGCAACTGGAGTCATTAGTTTGTTTTGTTTTTGCTTCTACAAGCATGAAAACTGGGTGATGTAGGAGTCGTTATGTTACTAAGCTTTATGATTAGCTCCTCTTGTAAGGAATAAAAATCATACTCGCGTAAATCAAATGGAATATAGTTTATCATAACAAAACATTTTCAGGGAGGTGTTACAAAAACTTCTCGTGGAGTACATCAGAAATCAGCTTTACCCAAAGAAACAACAGCTTTGTCGGAATGTGTAATAGACTTGACAGATATCATACATCAAGCAACACACAATTTTAAAATAAATACATCAATTCATCACCATGGCTGTGCGTGGGATCTTACATAAAAGGACCGCGAGCAGTCTGAAAACTAGTCAGAATATAATAAAACTGAAATCATGATAAATCAGCTCATTGGTTAGAAGAGGATCTAAGAATGATATTACTGAGGTTTGGGTGAGACTAAATGCTTACTTCGAAATCTAAGCTGTGTTGCGGCATTGGCGGTTATGTGCGGCGTGTATGCCGCATGATTAGTAAGCGGCGACCACTAAATTAAAGACTTAAACGCTCCAACCTGTTTTCAATGAATAACACTGCATACCAAAAATGCCAATCACTCTCGTCATAAGATATTTAGATTTAAATAACTAAGTTATCTGCATCATCATTTTGAACCAAATTAATGCCTTCAACTTAGTAGGTACTCACTCATTCCTTCCTTCGTTGGCTCCAAACAGTCTTTCGATTGTCTGGAAATCGTATGCCAAATCCCGCACCTGTATAGGCGACTGGTGCATATATGTAAAGGCCGATGTAAGAATTTCAATAGGCTCTCGCATGCGATTTCCTGGCTACCCAAAAAGTCTGTTTCAGTCATGCTATCAAAACATGGTATGTCAGCCCTGTCACCAGCTTATGACTGCTCTACTAGTAGTGCCCCTGACCGTCACCGACTCCCTTCCCTCCTTAAAAGCCTAGTTTCCCACCATCATCTCTACTAGATTTAGGTGATGCTCCGACAAATTCACAAACAAGACCGAACTTGTTCGGAGTTCGGACTGTGAGTTAACCCTCGCCCTTTAGGGGGGGTCGAACGGACTCCCCTCGGTTTTTTCGCGAATAACTCGCGTAAAAAGCGGCTGATCACGACGTAACGTTTAGTACCCTCGCGTTGATCAATTTTACACCTACCCTGAAAATTTCATGACCCTGACGCAGTGTTCCAAAATTTGCTGTTTTGGGTGGGAAACGACATCAAAATGAGAATCATTTCGCGCTCACCTCCAATTTTTAAGAGCAATTTTCCACTCCCAATATTACGAAGGAAAAGCATTAGCGTGGATAATCGTTGTACATCTCATATTTTATCACGCATGAATAAAATTAATGCTATTGATTTTTTCCCACTCTTTTTGGGCCTCATCTTGGCCAGCAATTTTTCACTCTTATCCCCATTTTTGGAAAGCAATTTCCCCTCTGACACCCAAGCCAAAATGCAATTTTGGGACACTGCCCTGACGCAAATAACCTTTGACCTGTGACCTAGGTACTTTTCGAGACCATGTTTGGCCGGAACCGCGATTCAGCGTATGTCGGCTCGCATTAGCAGCGCGTTTGCAGTCTTTTCGTGGTTTCAAGCGTTCAAACATGTGATATGATGTTGCCCCCATGCATTAGGGTGGGTGTCAAGGTCACCTGAAGGTCAGGTCAGGTCATTGACCTTTGGTGACCTCGGTTCACTTTTTCGAGTTTGACATGTTTCTAGGCCAGTTTTTCGAGCTGAATTCGAATTTAGCAACCACATGAACGTTTACAAAGTAGTTTTGGTGCCTTCGTAACATGTTACGAGGCTGTCAGAGGCGGTTGACACCTACTACAAATACCCGGCAGGACCTCTACTGGTTGACCTGACCTGACCTGACCCGACCTGGCCTAAATGAATGAAGACATCATCTGTGATCAAAACTAGCATGATATTCGTGATCAGCACCCCGGAAAACCCCATAGCAGCCACACTACGACGTTCTAACAGGTCCCAATTTTCCGCCTTTTGGGTCATTGACCTGACCTGGAAGGTCAACCGATGACCTAGGACCTTAAAATTGGCTTAAAATCGGCTTCCTCTCGTCACGGGCAACACGCTCGTTTTTTTCCGCGAAGCTCTAGCTTGATCAGGAGCGAAACGGCAAGGGGTTATACCTTATACGTTCGCGGCTGGAAAAACACCAATACGGGCGAGGGTCAAGTTGAAAGTATTAATTTGGTTCAAAACGATGATGTAGATAAGTTAGTTATTTAAATCTAAATATCCTATGACGAGAGCAATGGACATTTTTGGTATGCAGTGTTATCCATTGGAAACAGGTCAAAGCTATTGAGTTTTTAATTTAGTGGTCGCCGCTTACTAATCATGCGGCATACACGCCGCACATAACCGCCAATGCCGCAACGCAGCTTAGATTTCGAAGTAAGCATTTAGTCTCACCCCTAGGTTTTACAAAATATCGCCATGGGTATCAAACATTTAACAAAAACTCAAGTTGTAGAACATTGAATAGCATATACAAATAGAATAGTTATACTAGTCAAATCAATCGCCTACCCGTAAAAATGCTTGACCCATATGTGTGGCCCTTCCCATCGGTATCACATAACTCACATTTCACTTTACGTAACCATCGTAGGCGATCCGAGCGTGTTCTTTCCATCCGTCGACAGTCGCTAATTATTGCGCGCGGCTGCTCACAGACATCTGCTGTCCACGATCATTAGCGAACAGAGACATCTTCAATCAAAAATGAACAGACATCTTCGATAGCAGTTCGACCGCGGCGACGTCTGCAAAAACGGCACGTGAGATGAAAACATTGAAGGTACTTCTGAGGTAACATTTTGGTACGGTACAGATAACATGAAAAATGAAACAATTTGACGCCTACCCCTAGCACATTCGAAATAAACAAAGCAATAAAAACAAAAAATAAATTCAAATAGCAATGCAAGTAAATGCCCAATACAAGGGCATCCTATTATACAGCATAGCCGGAAATCCCTTGGCAGCGAGCATTTATTTTCGCCTATGTAGCTCAGATAAACAATAGGTACCAGTTGTCAAATCAAATTTGAGGTCATCGAGCTGGTATGAAGGCTTATGTTAATTGTTGTATTTGTATGTAGCACTGTTGGAAGTTAGTGGAATAACCACGCATTCTTTTATAGCTTGCAGAAGAATTGCATCAGATTTCGACACCTGTTTCTAGAAATATCATTGCTTAATTAGAACGAGCAGCCAAGTTGAATATTTGTTTTTAGTTCAGATAACCGAGTTGTGCGACAAGTTCCATGAGGCCCGAGCAAGGTCCGTTGAAACTAGGCAACAATTATCTTATCAAAACAAGGAGTTGGGTATTTCTGAGCATAATTAGGCTCCAGGTAATTCAATATTTGTGACTTGACTACACCGAAACAGAACTTGGTGATGACGAACTTCATAATAGGCATTCGTACACCGATAAGAAGTGTTTGAAAGTATCTCTCAACATATTATAAGAATAAAACGGTCAATCGAAACTTGTGGTAGCTCGATATTCAGGTCAGGAAAAATTACTCGCAAAATTAAAAGGCAAATGCCGATAACCTAGGTATATCAAACGATAGACTAGACGAATATTGAACTAAAACCTCTAACAAAAACGGGGCAAAGAAAGCCCATAGGCTAGGGTGATAAATACTAAAGACAATGTAGAAACAAGTATTATTGTGGTTACTGACTTAAATTCGAAGTCACCAAAAATAAAATACTCACGGAATTCAAAACAAAAGAATTCTTCGAAATGTCCAAGCACGACAAAAATACTTCTAGACCATTAACACTAACAGTCATTTCAAATCTCACTGGCCATTTCGAGTTCAGAGAGGAAAAAGAGCGAAACTGACCAATTCGAAAAAGAAGACCGGAAGAGCACTTCGGAACTTTCATCAAAGACACTTGTGGATCCAACGGGGGGGGGCATTTGCGGAAATGCCCCCTCGCAGTGACGGAAATCGATGAAAATTCGTCGTTTTTCTTCAGAAGAAGAAAACAAAACAACTTTTATTTAAAAAAAGTTCGCTTTAAACTGGTCAGCACTTCATACAGAATTGAAATTCTAGGAGTTTTTGGAATTACTCTTATAAAAAGTTTTTCGGGGTAGGCGCCACGCAGTGACCGAAACCGTCTTTCTGGATTCGCCTATGATCCAAGGCTTGACTCAAATATAATGCTGAAGTGGTAGGTAATCATTCTAGCCATCGGATGGCGATTGGTGAACGAATGCATCTGAAACTAGAGAAACGGTGCCTACGTCGTGCGAAGCGTCCTACGGTATAAACAATTCAGCCAGACATCCACACCTAGTATTTCCTCGCTACGGTAAAACACGTTACTTTAACAAGACAGAAGATAATTTCTTTGACATAAACTTTACGAAGGGCAGCCCCCCCCCCCACCACCACAAAAACGAGGCCAAGTTTTATGTCTAGGCAGCCATGAA